TACAAACTGGGCAGTTTTTCTAATGAGAGGTGATTGATGGCATTGAAATTGACTGCTGATAAAGAAGATGGGTAAAATACATGTGAGATAACTAGGTTTGCAGTAGGTATGAGAAAATGAAGAAGTGAAGGTAGAAAAGATGAGAGTGCTGGTAAGAGGGAAATTTGTGGTGAAAGGAAGATTTTTAATTTTACAGTTTCTTTTTCCTCCTAGATAGGAACTGAATAATATAACTGGAACAAGAAAATGATGACTATATTATAACCAACTACTTGTTTTGCCATCAAACAAACCTATATTTTATAAAAAACCCTATAACAGCAAGTCAGCAAAGCAATTACAGTGCAGGATAAAACGTTACTATTTGTATAGTGCAATGGTGTGATCACAAACTGCTCTTGACTGAAGAGGGCTGCATCGTTTTAATTTTAGGTGAATTTATAATGAAAGGTTTTTTTGTTGTTTTTGTCTTTATTTTTTATTTTTGCAGTTTAGCCTAAGACATGTCTAGAAATGTCATTTGTTAAATGAGCCACTGAATGTATCAAATTTGGATCAGCCAATTTGGCCTCTCATATGTTGCATTTCTTCATCAACAACTCCTAATATTTCATTAGTGTAATGAGTCATATACAGGTGATGATTATCAGGTAAAATCTACATTTACTAAAATTATGAGCATAAGAAGAAGAATAAACATAACCAGGAAGCACTGTCATGACATATATGATGTTCTCTTGTAAAATTATTTACTGAAGTACCTCCTGAAAATTCAATCAGCAATTGGAAAATTCGTCATTTAAGTCTTAACAAGATATCAGGGAGAACTGAGTTTCTTAAAGATGAGAAGCGCTAGAGGGTGTCCCTAAAAAATGTTAAGGTATTTTTATTAGATAATTGTAATAAAAGATATTGTAAACCAAAAATAATATATACAAATAGTTATAGGAAAAATCTAACTATATAATTACCAGTGATAACAGCAAAGGTGATTAAGTAAAAATCATAGGAATACCTAATTTTAGTACATTTAGTTATTCAAAATACAGATATTTTGTTGAAGTCTCCTGAACACAAGACTGGAGAGACACATGTAAGAAAGGTATAAATTGGTGACGTTTTAAGGAAGGGAAAAAAATAAAGAGGCAACCTGATAACACTATAACATTCTGAAACAATGTAAATGGTTCGGAATCCATGTAAGAATCATACATTTCTATTACATAAACCACCATGCCCATAATATATATGTTTAATCACAATAAAAATAAAAAATATATATTATGTGCATGGTGGTTTATGCCTGTAATCCTAGAAGTTTGGGGGGCCAAGGTGGGAGGATCACTTTAGCCCAGGAGTTCAAGGCCAGCTTGGGCAACATGGCGAAATCCTGTCTCTAATATATATATATATATATATATTATTTTCATATGAAAATGAAAAAAACCTGAACAGAATTATATTTGCATGGTATTTCAATTTGCATGGCAAGAATATCTTAATTATATATTTAAATTATTTTAAAATATAAATGTATTTCAAAATCTAAATATATTTTGTAAATGTTTGTATAACATTAAATGTTCTAAATAACAAAGATATTGTCTTTTTATATAAAATTTAATTTCTTCCAGGAAATAGTCTAAAGCATCTTCTAAAGGCACATTCAGCTTCATAATTTTGTAGTCATAATTTTTATTTAATAACCTCTACCTGACGTCATACTCAAATATCTAGATTAGTGCTTTGCACTCTGTAATCCTTAATAAATACTTTTAGACCAATTTAATGGGTACTTTGCAAACACTGTAGCCTTTGTTCCCAAACTCAGATTATTATACCACCATAGAGAGTTTGTCTTTGTTTATATCAACCAAAATTCTATCAGTTCTAATTGAAAAAAAGCATTCATATCCTCTCGGCTGGCATTGTTTCCTGAAGTAACTGTCCTGAGGAATTTAGTAAGGTCAAATGGTAGAGATAATAATTTATTAACCTTTATGATTAGGTATACACATTAGCTATAATTAAACTGGAGAAAATTAACACTGTGATTTTTTAATGAGTACTATAATTATTCTTGAAGATCTATTTGCAATATGTTCATATTTCACATGTTAAGGGAAATATCCTGTCTGAAGCATTCGTTTTCTAGTTATTTCACTAAGACTAACTTCCTCTGTGATCAAAAATAACTACTTTTAAGAATGAAGTATCACTTACAGTGTCAATTATTTCTGTGCAAGCCATTTTATTGTGTGTGTGTGTGTCTATATTATATATTAAAGTCTACGTATATATATATACACACACACACGTAGACTTTAAACTTGGTTTTAAAGCAGCTTTAATTATTTTATTGTTATAAACTTTATTCCTAATACCATTCTAGCACCATGTATAATATACCTATGTCACTTTCCTATTTACTTAACAAAATTTTGACAGACATGTTATGGATATTTATTTAACTTAAAATAATATGCAGAAATTGTACTTCTTAAATATTGATATAATGAACATTCTTCATACGGAATATACCAGTATTGTTTGACATCCTGTCCGTAATGTAAGGTGTGCACATGAAAGTCCCTTTTCTGTCTCCTGCTACCCTGCAGTTCCACCATGTATTGGTGGGAAATGACAAGAGTATTCAAGGTTATTCATTGAAGTTATCAGCTGTAATGATAAAACCCTAGAAACAACCGAGATGGCTCTCTCAAAGGTGAAATAAACTGTGATACTTATACAAAATAGAACACTAAGCTTATTTTTAAAACAAGATACAAATGTATATGGTAATAATGTCCCATGCTTCATGATACATTGCTAAGTGAAAGAAAGCAAGGTGCAGTAAATTGTGTGCCATATGTCATCATTATGAGGAAAGTAAGCAAATATATATTATTGCCTTTTAAAATAATCAAATCTATATTATTGTGTTTTTTTAAAGAGCAAATACATTTTATTATCTCATGGAAAATGGCAATAATATATATTTGATTTTTTTACCAAAAAAAATCCATTTCCTGTGAAGATCACCCTCAAAACAGAACGAGTGATTACCTACAAATAATAGAAGAAGAAAAAAAACCAGTGGAAACAAAGTTGCCGGTGAGATTTTTTTTTGTTGTTGTAAATCTTTATGTATATATTCCAAACCATACAAATATTTTGACATCTGAAAATTAGTATAAGTCAGTAATGACCTAATTAGCCAGAGTTAAAACATCGTTAAATAATTTAACAATCAATCAAATACTTTCTATAAGGGTCCAACTGTAGGCTGATCCCAAAAGTTGGGAAGAAATAAAAGTTGCCTTACCAAACTATATGGATAATATTTACTGCAGAACAAAGTAGTTACTGGTTGTTCAGAAAGAGATATTAAATCCTAATATCCCGTCATTCTTCCCAAAGTATATGATTACAAATAAAATAAATTATGTTTTTATTTTCATGAATTTTTCAAAATCAACTCCATGATAATTTGCTATTTATTTTGAACAACAGTTTTCTTTTGCAGATCTTTACTTTTTCCTAAAGAATATTATTGCCATTATTTTAGCTTTATGCTTTCCTAATTACTCTAAGATTATTAACTGTATTTATCACATTTATTACATGTGTAGGGGTGAAGGGTCACTGAAACTGAATAGACAAAAAGCAAATTAACAGGAAAAGGCACACAAATTTATTTTCATGTGCATACCTTGGCGAAATCACAGAAAAATGATTATCCAATAACTCAATGAGGTACAGATGTGTATATAGACTTCTTTACAGAGGGAAGAAGAGTTAGGGGAGATGTGGCAGCTTGAGGGAGAGTAAATGCTTTTCACTGGGGAAATCAATGGATCTAATCCTCAGAAAATGGTTAATAAATTTTTTTTTGGAAATTAAATGGAACAGAGGGTCTGGTTTGGGACAAAATTTGGGCTTTAAATGTGGTGTTGAATTTTCAGTCACCTCCCCTGTAATATGAGTTTTCATCTTTTCTGGTTAATGAAATTTCAGAGAAGGCAGCTCTGTTTCTCTTTAGCATATCTGGTTTCTAGGAAAGTAAGAGAACTTCACAGAACAGATTAATCCTGTGCTCGAGAGAGACAGGGGATTGAAAGACAACAGCAGGGTAGCAGAGAGGCCAGAGAGACTTGGTGACTTTCTTTAGTTTAGCCATATTTCTGAGTGAAATAGCCTGGTTTCCTTCAGTCACCCGTTTAAAAACTTATTTTCAGAAAGTTCCACATATTAAAGTAGGGTTTGTAGTGATGGATAGAGAAGTCAGGGTAGTAATCAAGTGGTGAGAGACCTGCAAAGAAAGAACATAGATTAGAATGAGTACATAGAGAAGTCATCTAAGCACTTTTCTCCACACTCAATTAAGTCAGTTTTATTTCTGAGAATAGACCAGTCCAATTAAACAGTTGAGTCTCATCTTAGTAGATAGTGGTGCAGATGGGTTCTCAAAGCTAGGTCTCTATATAGGATTCAGGCAAACAAATCTTTAATAAGAGGCATTTCTATGGAAACAGAAAAAAAAGGCTAATGTCTGGAGTCGTCTATAAACTAGTTTTTCAAGAGTCTGGAGGGCAGTCAGATGCAAAGATTTTTTTATCTGAGCTGAAGCATCTTCAGTTGAAGAGGGGCAGACAGCAGCAATCTGATAGATTTTCTTAGCACAAAGTTTGTCCATACACAAGCGATCATGATGATTTCTATGGAACCTATTTATTAACTAGGTGACTAGTTTCAGTTTGCAAGGCTTTAGGAAAAAGACCATTTTAATTTTAGTGATTCCCAAGTCAGAGAGTGGGAGAAAAATTGAAAATGTTTGTTTGGAGAGTCATAGCCTAATATTGGAGGAAACTGAAGATTCAGGATTAAGTCCAGATAATTTAAAAGGAAAAAAAAAAAAAAAAAAAAAAAACCCTCAAAAGCAAAAGCAAATGAACCAGGCTGGAATTTAGTAACAAGTGCCTTATGGTTTCTTTTTTTTTCTAAAACAATTTTTCTTTCTCTGATTTCCCCATTTTCACCATAGATAAATTATTTGTAAGACAAATTTATTTGCAAAATGTCTCATCTTTGGCCTAATTATTTGCCTCCATCTTGCAAGAATGATAATTGTTTGTATAGAGTCTTTTTAAGCTTGCTTTGCTGTAACTTATCAGGAATTTCAGATTAGACTTCTGAAAGTCTCTCAAAGCTGGAAAGCCAAGCCAAGAATTTGACTTGCTCTCAGACTTTGTAATACCTTTATGAATTGGATGAATATCTCTCTTCTTGAGAATCCCCAAAATGTCCTCAGATTCCTGGGCCTGCCAGGAAGTGACATTCTTTATCCAACTCTAAGACAACCATGTGAATCATACATTTAAGGCATCATTCCAGTTTTTTCCGAGGAGATTTTTAGTGGCTCCATAAATTTAACTTCAATTTCTGACAGTCTGGTCATCTGTGATAATATGACATTCCAGTCAAAGCCTTGGTAAAATATCCAGTGTTTTCAATTATGTCCTGTTATAAAATAAAACAGATTCTCGTTAAACTTGTGCAAATAGCATATTTCCATGAACTAAGAATACTCACAGTTTCTGCCTCTGGAGGGATCAGGTTGAGTGAAAGGTCGGTGTTTTAACTTTGCTCACAAAAGCATATTTTACCAACTTGCTGTAAAGCTATAGATAGCGGAGGAGAGAGAGAGAGAGAGAGAGAGAGAGAGAGAGAGAGAGAGAAAAAGAAGTGGCAATGTTTTAATCAAAAAAGTCATAAATATCATTTCAGTCCTTTATCAGTTTAGTTCTATTTCATTAATTATTGTTTTGTTTGATATTGGGTTAGTGATTTTATGAGTCTAGGTTCTTAAAATTAGAGTTCTGGAAATTTTGACCCAGTCTAAAGACATAACTTCATAATTGTCAGAAACCTGTGTTTCTGTATTTGTTACATTTTTTTCTATCCTTACTGTGAATCTCCTTGAAGACAAAATACTTTAATATTTGCAAAAAACATTCAGAAAAAAAGAAAGCAACACAATAAAGCAATTAATTATGGACAAGTCCCAACATGGCCATGGTTATACACACAATTAAGAAGAAAAATTTGTTATTTTAGGTGTCTTACCACAAATTTATATAACAATTATGACTAATGACATATACCAAGACATATCACAATTTTAAGAATCTAACAAATTTGGAACACATATTAATAAACATGCATATAAACATAAAGAAGAGTAAACACCGTTTCTTATTTGACACTTCCTATATAATTTTATACATAAAATAAGTATGTTTCTTATCTCTGTTTCACATGCTTCCGTCTGGGTCATTCTAAAACTAGGTGATGTCAAAGAGATTTAATTTTGATTTCGAAATTTGATTTTGGGAAGACTTTCAAAACTCTCAAAGGTTCAGAGCATTTGATTCAAATAGAATCACAGGTCCCTATAAAATAATAGTCATTCATTTAGACAAAAAGCAAAAACGTTTACTGTTTAATAGAGTAGACTCAGTTTTTAAAATAATCAAAAGACCTAATAAAAACAGCATGAAACACACAGAATCTTTTTCTCCCCCACCTTTTTTTGAAGTTTACGAAACTTTTTACTGTCTTTTATAAAATTAAAATTTTGTCTAAAAGAGAAAATCAAATTTTAGTTTTATATCAGGTTTGACTACACACAGTAGGATTTTCAAAAACCTTTGTAGCATCTTAAATTTTTTAATTCTCTTTTTCCTCAACTGTTTATAATCATCTAATTTTATCTATACAATTTTGTAATTTTTTTTTATTTTGGAACAAATTTTAGATACCCTTTAACCTAGACAAAATTACTGTTATTTAACAAAAATACATCCTCATACCTTGTAACATTTTACTTTTCTCATACACAATGTATACAGAACTGTTTCTTATATATAGTTTTAATTATGTGGATCAGAGGTCTTCAAACCCTGGGCCACAGACTGGGACCCTGAATAGTCAGGATCCCGGCTGTGGAGCAGGAGGTGAGTTTCGTGCAAGGGAGCAAAGCTTCGTCTGTACTTACAGCCACTCCCGTCACTGGTGTTACCAACTGAACTCTGCCTCAGCTCCGCCTCCTGTCAGGTCAGCATCAGCATTAGGTTCTCACAGGAGCAGTGAAAACGATTGTGAATTGCGCATGCGAAGAATCTAGGTTGCACTCTCCTTGTGAGAAGATCATGCCTCCTCATCTATCAGCATCCACCCAGGGCAGTATATGGATCCTCTGGCATAGGAAACTTCAGGGCATTAAACTTCTTCTCAAAGTCATCCACCAAGCCTGCCTTGGCCACATTGGCCTTGTAGTAAGCCCAGTCAATAGATGGTGGATTCTCAGGTAAAGCAGCCAACCTGGTGGTGAGGATCTCATTGCAGGATTTCAGGGAATTAGCAATGGCCTTTTGGTTTGGGGGTATGATCTGGGCTTATACATAAATATTATCTTATACATAAATATTATCACATTATCTTCAGATGAGTCTGCCTAGTTGCAGGAAAACAAGCTCAGGGCTCTCCCTGATTCTGCATTATGATGAGTTTTATAATTATTTCGTTATATATTACAATGTAATAATAATAGAAATAAAGTACACAATAAATATAATGTACTTAAATATAATGTACTTGAATCATCAGAAGATCATCCCCCACTGCCCCGGTCTGTGGAAAAATTATCTTCCACAAAACTGGTACCTGGTACCAAAAAGGTTGGAGACTGCTAATATAGATTAGTAAAATTTTCATTCATAGTAGCCTTAATTTCTGGTGAAAACCTCAGAAGTAAATAATTTTAATTTTTAGGCTTTTTGTAAAACAATTTGTCAATGTGGAACAGTACACATTTACTAACAAGTCCAGATATTTTCTTCCTCTGAAATAAGCAAAAGGTATATAAACTGAAACTATATATAATAATGTTTTAGTATTTTAACTTCCTTGGGGTTCAATCAAATACTTTCTTATAAAGTCTTCTACTCTAGATTAATCTCAAAAATTGGTAAAAAATACAACTTATTAAAAGTGTGTGAATAATGTTCATCTCAGAACAAGGTAGTGATAACACTCCTAAAGAAAGGGATATATAATCAAACCTAGTTAACTATTCTGCCAAATAAGTTTCAGATGACAATCCAAATCAATTACATTTTTTGTTTTTATATATTCATAAATGTCTTTCAAAATTATGCTATTTATTTGCTACCCATTTTGAACGATGGTTTATTTGTATAGATCTTATTCAGTTTGTTTATTTCCTAAAGAATTTTATTGCCACTATTTTAGCTTATGCTTTCACTATTACACTACGATTATTAACCTCTTAATCATATTTATCACATTGAATCCACTTTTTTTCTTGAAGAGCTGCTTTCAAGAATCTCCCAACTTCCTGCTTAACTCTAGCTATTATTCCTTCTGTTTACTGTAACAATTTTCAGAGCTCTGCTCATTTAAAATTTTAATATTTTGCCCTCATACTTTAAAATTGGGGTGGGGGCTGTGTCAGGGAGGGTCCAAAAAGGAGAGGAAAATCACACCAGCTATTCAATAAAATAATGTCACAAATTGATGGTGCATTACTGAAAAGGCAAAAACAAACAAACAAACAAAAAAAAAGGGAGAGAGAGAGAGGTGGTGGAAGTAGCAATGTCAGTAAGGAGATATCATCTCTAGGGCTCTGAGGTAGCAAAGGATGCTCAACGGGCAGCTCAGGAACTCTGAGAAGAAGCCTCATAGAGCTAGTGCCAGACCTCAGGAACCTCCGAGAGGTCCAGCCTGTGAGTAAGGATGTGGATGAGAGGAGTAAAACTGGTTTTGGAAGTGGCGGAAAAATGCAAACGAAAAGCTATGCTATGGGGAGAACAAGCACCCTTAGGGATATGTAGCTAGGAACATTAATCAAACAGGAAAAAGCAATACCCTTTGTTATATATTTGTGTGTTTCTTTGTGTGTTTGCTTTTGGCAGGTGAGTCTCCCTCTAGCATCCTATATTGTGAGAGATTAACAAAGAAGCCAGGTGGCAAGGGAGGAATGTGATTTGCAAGTCCTTGTCCCAATATCATAAAGCACAGCATAGAATAATGGCTTTTGAAACAAGAAACTGTAGATTTCCTCAGAATTTTAAAGGGCTATTACAATCGCTCATGGTAAGAAATAATGCCAGTGAAATCTCATTTTCCCTATCTGGAATTATTTTTTTCTTTTCCTAAGTATTCTAAAATTTATAATAAAATGTAGAACAATTCTCATGTTATTTTGAAATTGAAAGTTTTTAGAATTTATGGATAATTTATTTTTTCCATTTTTCTTTTCTCTGTTCCCTTTTCTCTCATTTCTATTAGCTAAATATCATCCTTCCTGGATTGATGTGTTTTGTTTATTTTGCTGTCATATTTTCTGTTTCTCTGTGTGTGTGTGTGTGTGTGTGTGTGTGTGTGTGTGTGTGTGTGTGCCCGCGCACGCGCGTGCACGTGTCTGTGTATTTAAGAGACAAGGTCTTATTCTATTGCCCAGGCTGCAGTGCAAGGGCACAACTAGAGCTCACTGTAGCCTTGAACTCCTAGGACTAGTAATCCTCCCATCTCAGCCTCTCAAATAGATAGGGCTACCAGTGCACGCCCCCATGCCTGGCTAATTTTTTAAAGAGAGGGGTCTACTGTGCTGCCCAGGCTGATATCAAGATCCTGGCCTCAAGTCATAGCTCTATCTCAGCTTCCCAAAGTGTTAGAATGACAGGCGTGAACCACTGCTGGGCTGGGCCTCTGTTTCTTCTTGACAGGGTGCATATTCTGGATTTTCTTCAATTTAACCTTTAAATTGACTGCTGGGAATCAAATATTCTAGGACCCCCTCAGAATATTTGATTCCCATCCAATCACATAATTTTTCCTTGTTTTCTGATTGTTTGTATTCACTGACAGTCTCTAGTTTTTTTTTTTTTTTTAATTACTATTTGCTTGTTTTTGTTTATCTTATCATCTTTAATTTCTTTCAGGTGATGCTCAGTATTTTCACCTTTTGGTTGCTCCACAAATTATTACATTTTTCTTTTTGAATTTTTCTGTTTATTCACGTTAGACCATTTCTTTTTTATTCTTAATGCTCCTAAAATGTCTGGTGATCCTTATTTAGCCATTTATATTTTAAAATAAAGAACTAAGTCAATTAACATAAGTAACTGATATGAATATCCTGTTGTAATTTCACTTCATATCCTAATTATCTTCTTCCATAAAAGGATAACGCTCTGGGAAGCCATACACTTGTCTTTAGTATGTGTGTAGAAAGTAGGCTAGGACCTCTCCCACTAAATGCCAGTCTGTAGAGAATGATATTCTTGCATACCAACATCAACACTAAAAACCTCAGCTATTCCCAGGCAGATCATCATGCTTTTTTAGAAAAGCACCATCTGTTTTTTGTTCTGTATATATGCCAGGTTTCCAATCACTCTCAACAACTAAGTTTTGGAGAGCAGTATGTAGAAGAGTGGTCCCTACTGGGACATTTCTTTACAAGCATTTCTTCAGATAACCTTCCTGATTTTGGTCCAATAGGACTAAAAGACTGGTAGACTAAAAACTCATTTCTTTTCTTGTTTTGTAATCTCTGTTTGGAGTTGTTGGGAAGCAGTACTGGAAAAATCAGCTTTTATGTTCACTATAAACTTCTGGACTGGTTTTCAATGTAGACAAATATCCACAAAGTGTTATCTCTCAATATTCTCCTAGAGGCTTTTCAAATGTGAGAAATGCATTTCTAGACCTCACTCAGAATGCAATCAGAAATCCTTCCCCACTATGGCCTTGGCAACTGAGGATGGACAGAGATAACAGAGCTCTGCCCAATAAGAGGAAAACCCTGACATAGGCAATGTGATAGTCAGAGAAAATAATAGATAATGCTATGACAGTGAAGAAAATCACAGACAGTATGTTTATTGAGGGAGTTTGGTCAAAGATGGAGTCCAGGATACCGCACCTAAATATGCATTGCCAAAGGAAGACAGTAGAAGGAATATCAAGAAAGAACAAGATGGGGAAATAAAAAATAACAGGCTTCTCAAAAAAAAAAAAAATGCTGCTTCAAACACCAGAGAGATGAAAAAACATGCTATATATTCCCATTAGGTTGGTGAACTTTGAACTGACCAGTGATTTGCCTTAAAGTAAGTTCAGTAGGCAGTCTTATTGGGCAGAGTTCTGTTATCTCTCACCTTAGATCAAGACAGTTTTGTAAGTGATGATACCAACAGCCATTTAGTTTACGCCTAAAGAACCGAAGGTCCTGGGAATTTAACCATGTCAATGTAGGCTTTTTACATTATTAACTGCAAAAAGAGTGCCCTTTTCCAACAATGACCAGAAATAATTGGAGGAAGAAATTATGTGAGTTTCTGTCATTCTAGGGAGAAGGATTGCAAGGGCAATAGCACTAAGATAAAAGGATCCTTTGTGTTCCCAACTGTCTTTAAATTTACTTCTGGCTTTTCATCAAGCACTACATTTATCTAGTGGATATAAATATCAAATCATTTTTGAACAAAAAATGAATGTTCATTGCATGCTAAACATATCTAGGAATTAAAATCTCTTATTTATGGTTAACAGTTAAATTTGTTAGAACATGATGCTTAAATATGAGAAGTTTCAGGTTTGGATTTTTTATGAAACCATGATCATTTTCTGGTCGCCCTCTGCACTGTTGACATTGTCCTTATGATATGCCCTAATGATGATAACAAGAAGTCACTAAGAGTGTTGGTTTGCAACAATACTACTAGTGCAAATACTACTGCCACCACTGAAAGATGCAATTCATATTGTCAGCCATTCTCATTTTGACTCAGTAACGTTGCAGCCACACAAAGGAGATACAGTGCTAGCATACTCAACTTCAGAATCTGCACTACTTTTTCACCATCAATTATTAGGTATCAAAAGTAGTTGAGTGGTGGTTTATACCAGAACTAAAAATTACATTGGTTACTTGGCTTCTTATTATCATGTAGTTATGTTAATAAATTATTTCTTTCCGTTGATATATTCTATTTTATCCCAAACATTGTTATTGATTTGATAAGAATCTATGTGCAAGGTGTTTCATGTGGTAGCTAATACATAGCTGGCCCTTAATGATTATAAAATTATTATGGGTCCAAGCTCCAGTGAGCAGAGATTTCTGCCTGTTTTATTTCCTGTTAACTCAGTTTCAATTGCATAGTAGATGCTCAATACATAATTGAGTGATTGAATACACAAATGAAAAATAATAGCTAATATTTGAAGACACAGACATAAAACATACAAATATAGAATAGTTCAGATTACCATTTTTAAATAGTGAATAATTTTAAAAAGAAAAATATAATTATTATGCCAAAAGGAAATGGTAAAGCTGTATAAAAAATTCTATTAAGCAAAAATAATTATTAGCGATAATTAATTGAGTGTTTATCATGTTCCAGGCATAGTGTAATGTGATTTACATAACTGAACCCCTCACAATTATATTCCAGGCTGGCATTATTATCTCAGTTTTACAAATGAGAAAATACACTGAAAAGGTTAAACTTTGTACAGAAAGGAAATGAGTTTTTTGATGTCCAGGTCATTCCTAAGTGCAAT